CCGCCGTGGAGGCCGCCCTCCGCGCCGCGGCGGCCGCATTCCTGGACGGGGACTCGGGGGCGGGGGGGAGCGGCCGCGGGGCGCAGCCCGCGGCGCCCTGGCGCTACGACCCCGGTGCCGCGCGCCTGGAGGCCGGGGGCGGCGCGGTGCGCGACGCCATCGCCCGGCTGGCGCCGGCGGCGGGCCGGCCCACGCCCGCCCTGCCGGAGGCCATGGCCGGCGCAGCGGCGCTGCAGCGCCTGGTGCACGACGCCGTGCTTTCCACGGCGCTGGCGCGGCCGCGCGCCCTGTTTGCCGGCCTGCCGGCGGCGAGGGAGTACGTGGCGGGGGACGGCGCGGCCGCCATGCCCTCCTTCTCGGCCATCCCCCTGCCCGCCATCACGGCAGGCATGTGAAGCTGGCTGGGCGGGCGGTTTGGTTGATTTTTTGGAGCCGGGATCAGGGCTTACACCTGTTGCATTGCATGCCGAGCAGGGGGTCAGAGGCTGAGCGCCCTGCGCTGAGCGGGCAGGGGACTGCTGGTAGGTGGCGGAGCGACACGGCTCTGTCCCTCACCGCTGTTGGGCGCTGCAGCAGTCTTCGCTGTCGCCCCAGTGCCCTTGATCCACCATCACCTCCCCGTCTCACCCTGCAGCCGGGGAGTACCTGCTGCTCCTGCCGCAGCTCCTGGAGGCGGTGCTCCTGCGCGACGAGGAAAGCGCGGGCGCGGAGGACGCGCTGGCCAGCGTGAACGAGTGGACCTCGCGCGTCGCCACGGCCTCGGCCCAGGAGCTGACCCAGCGCCTGCGCCAGCTGCCGCGCCTGACGCGCGGCGGGGCGGGCCAGCTGGCGGCCGACCTGGAGTACTTTTGCAACGTGCTGAGCACGCTGGGCATGGAGGCGCCGGACGCGCTGGCGGGCTGGGCGGCGGGCGCGGCGGTGCAGGGGGAGGAGCCGGGCGAGGCGGCGGGCGACGCACGCGCTGCGTTTGGGGAGCTGCTGGCGGCCGCGGAGGGGAAGGAGGGGCGGGATGCGGTGCGTGCTGTCGCCGCGCTGAGGGGCATCCAGCTGTGAGCGGCGGCTTGGAGTTTGTGCCTCTTGACGAGCCACGACCACCGCCTGCGGCACGCTAGCTCGGCTGCCATGTACGCCTGGGAATGTCTTCCCCAAGTAACATTCAAGTGACAGGACGAGTCTTGTAAAAGATAATCTTCGCACCCAGAGCACAGGAGCGAGCTGTATTTCCAGACCAGAGGGAGGAGATGCTCAAGGCTGACTGCAAATAACATGTTGGCGGCAGGCAAACTGCACGCCACATGCCCAGTCGGTCTACTGCTTCCGCGTGAATCGGTTGGGCACAAACTGGAACGGTCCATCCTCCAGGGGCCAGCCGGTGTGGCGCCCGGGCGGCGCCACCGTGTTGGTCGCGGGGATGGCCTGCAGGACCCCCTCTGGACCATGCAAGGTGCCACAGATGGCGCAATCCTGCACATGGAGAATGTGGGAGGATGGGTGCTCAGACATGCCAGCTCCAGTGGCGCAGCCCACATGGTCGGCCTGGCAGGGCAATGGAAACACTGAGATTCGCGACTCGAGCGCCCATTGCAGCTGCCCTGCCCACGGGAGACTCCCAGCACCCTCCCTGCTGGGTGCTCCGCCCCCCATGCCGTCACCCGCCCCACCTCTGCGACAAGCTCGGCGCCCTCCTCGAACACCATGACGGCATGCGAAGGGCCCCCCTCCAGCCTCACGCCGCTCAGCTGGGCTCGCGCCTGGTCCCAGAGCCACACGCCCCCCACGTTCTCTTGCACCGCCCCGCCGACCAGGGTTGCAGAGGCGCGGTCGCTCAGGTCGACGCCTGGGCCCTTGCAGCCTGTCACCACGGTCTGCGAGCACGTGAGGAGAGCGCTGTCCATGGCCACGAGGCCCTCCTCCTCGCACTTCTGGACGATGCAGCTGGTGGGGTGAGAGTTGGGAGCGGAAACTCTCAGTGAATTCAAGGGAACAATGGGACATTAGGCTTGTTCCGACGTGCTCAACAAAGACCGTGCTTGGCGCAAGCAGACACCAAAGCGATGGCTCAGGAAAGCATGCAATGGTAGATTCAAGCTTGGCAAGGGGACGAGCTGCACCGGGGCAGATCGGAGCTGCACACGCGGGATCAATCAATGGCTGTCCCTCTTGAACTGCAGGAAGCACAGCGGGCTAGGGGCAGCACCCTCCCCACCCTCCCCCCCCCAGACTCACTCTGTGAGGTCGCACTTGGCGCTCTCCAGGAGCTTGACCCCCGCCTCCCCGCATTTCTCGATGGTGCACCGGAGCAGGCGCGGCGCGGCGCTGTCGAACGCCCTCACCCCGGATTTCCTGGCCGTCAGCTCGCAGTCCACAAACAGGGGGGCGGCGCCCCGGCAGACATTCACCGCATCGTCCCCTGAGCACTTGACCATGCAGCCCAGGATCAGGGGGCCCCCACCCCCCGCCGGCCCAGAGACGCAGAGTGTCTCCTTGAACCCGGTCTGATCCAGGGTCAGGTTGTGCAGTACCACTCCCCCCCTACGTTTGAGAGAGGTTGGGGGTCTGGCAGTGTCAAGGGCAGATCGAATCATGGAGTGGCCCCAGCTTCGAGCTGTGTGACTGCAGCGCAAGCTGTCCACCCTGACCCAGACGCGTATGGAGCCCATCTCACCGGCCGAGGCGGAAGGTGGGGCTGTTGGCCCGCTGGTCGATGACGGCGTCGCCCAGCCGCCCTTGACCCTGGATGAGCAGCCGCTTGGAGACAGTCACAGCCTCCCTGCTTGGCAGTGTGTGGCACCATGCTCATGAATGGGGCAGGAGACTGGTTTCACACCCCAGCGGGTCAGTGGGTGATTTGGTGGGCTTGCAGGCTGATCGTTTGGCAATCTTGCGCTGCGCATACTGAGGGGCTGTCCCCCTGCTTCCCCACACACACCCTGCTAGCTCCAGGACACCATCTGCAGGACTCACCCCATGCCATTGTGGACCCCGGCCAGCAGGACGATGATGTCGCCGTCTTCGGCGGCTGCCACGGCCTCTTTGAGGCTCCGGAAGGAGGTGCGGCGTGGCCCTGATGGCGCCCTCCACTCTGCCAGGTCTTGACTCGCGCCGGTGATCTTCAAGGCCAGCCCACTTGCCTCCGCGGGGACCAGCGCGCCGCCAGACCTGGCTTTGGCCTCGAGGCTCGCCGACTCGATGCCAGCGGCCGGCGGTTGGAGACAAGCCCCTGTTCCTGCGGGCAGGTACTTGACCACCTCACCAGGCTCGGTGGCCTCCGGCCCATCCAAATGCGGATCGTGGGGTGCTGGGCCCCCGAGCCAGGCTTCGTCCCCGGCGCTACGCACCTGGTGGAGGGGTCACAGGAAGGGGCGGTGAGGCAGAGATGAGGGAAGCTCAATGAGGGGAGCCCAGCCACACCACCCCTAGGAGTCCACTGACCTCCAGCCGGGCTCCACCAAAGCCAGCGAGGCTGCCGGCCACAAAGGCTGAGACCGCAACTTCATCCTGCAGGGCCTGGAAGCTGGGCACATCGGCCGGCCCCGCCAGCTGGGTGCCGCGTCGCGCCGCCGCTGCGGCAGCCGCCCACTGCCCCAGCGCCTGCCGTGCCCGGGCCAGCCGGAACAGAGGTTTGTGCCAGTCGGGGCGCAGTTGATGCGCGCGCTCGCATGCGGCGGCCGCCTTGGCGGCGGCTCCCAGCCGCAGGTGGGCGGCCGCCATGTTGCAGTGCAGGACGGCCGTGTCCCGCGGAGAAGCGGAGGGCTCGGCCAAGCCCAGCGCATAGTGGCGCAGCGCTGCAGCACAGTCCCCCGCCGCGAGCGCGGCGTTGCCCGCGGCCCTGTGCGCGTCTGAGGGCCGGTGACCCCAGTGCGCACAGGGAGGGTCGGGTGCGTGCCTGTGGCTGCCCGCATCCCAGTGCAGAGTCCCCTCGACCTCTTCCTCCTCGGCCTGGGTGCTGGGCCGCAGCATCGAGGGGCCAGGGGTCGTGCAGGACTCAAGCTCGTCGTCGCTGCTGTCGGAGACCTCCGTCTCACGAACGACCGGGCTGCTAGGCTTCGATACCATAATGACGCCGTCTCTTTCCTTTCAGCAGACGTACTTCTAAAGGAGAAGGATACGCACTGAGGAAGTGGATTGTTCTGACTACTTTTGGTCAAAGTTGGCCTCGACCATGGACGTGCTGCAAGTCAACGAGGGCAGGCACCTGATGCCAAGTAGCATCCAACATGACGAGCTGGATAATTCATGCCAGAGGCTGTGACAAGATCGTGCCAGCTGTTGTCTTGGTGCCGAGGGTTTCAATTCTCTCTCGCCTGCCACTTCCGAGTCCGGGCGCGCTTCAGGCCGCACCAGGGCAGGCATCCCGGAATTGTGGTTCAGGCAGGAAGCTCAACCCTCCTACTCCGACAACGAACTTGAGCATGCACAGGCTTTGAACACCACCGTCGAATCGCCACATTGTAAATTCCTTCAGCAGTGGAGCTTCGTCCACCACGCCATCCCCTGGAGGCGAGCGGGCTGGGATGGCGAATATGCCTGCACAGGAGTCCCTTATTATGTACCCCTTGAGTACATATACATTTGGTCAGAAGGCCGCAGTGGTGGAGAAGCATGGCTCAGTCCCCGTCCGTATGGAGCGCCTCAAGGAAAAGTACGAGTCCTGCCAGATGTTTTTATCACTTGCAATGAGTTGCCCGATGTAGCTCATATATGGCTGATGCTTTATCAAATGGTACCTGCACTGGATCTGTTGTCGATGACAGGCGTGTCACGCTGGGCAGCACCTGTCCCTCACCGACTGCTGGGCCGACCTCCCCATGCCCAATGCAGGTATGCCCTGGAGGGCATCCGGCGCTCTGTGGATGCGGTGCTCCTAGTGCATGCCCACAACCACCCGCACATCCTCCTCCTCCAGCTGGGATCCACCTTCTTCAAGCTGCCGGGTGGCCGACTCAGACCCGGAGAAGATGGTGTGTGAACCAAGCCGGGGAGGAGTTCTTGGGGCGGGGCGAAGGTGCACGGGATGTCCTGGCATGCTCCTGACGGCCCATGTCTTGTGGACGGAGTTTTATCAATGTGGGAAAATTGCCTTTGCAGGGCTTGGCTTACCGCCGGCACATTCTTGCTGCATGGCGGACCCCTCACAGGGTCCCTCCCGCCTGTGCTCTCCCTCTCCCAGAGGCCACTGGGCTGATGAGGAAGCTGAACAAGGCACTCGCTCCCGAGAAGGATAGCATGAAGCCAGATTGGCGACTAGGGGACCTGCTTGCAACTTTCTATAGGTGGGTGTAGACCATGCAGCAATAGTCGTTGGACCTGATCAGTTTGTACTGTGTGGGACTACTGGCCTGACGATGGGGGCCACCCACCCAGACTGCCTGCCAGGTGGCAGCCGTATGCTGAAAGCATGCTTGCATTTGATGTGCTTGCCTTCAGTCTTGCCTTCATGCCCAGGCAGAGATCTCTGGAGAAGCCCTGCCCTGCCATCAGTATCATTGCTCTGCACACTTAATACCCCCAAACCACTCCACGATTCCAGGCCCAACTTTGAGAACTTCCTCTACCCCTACTGCCCGCCACACATCGAGCGGCCCAAGGAGGTTAGGAGCCTGTACCTCGTCCATCTTCCGGAAAAATGCTTCTTCTCCGTAAGTCCACCTTGTGGACCTTTGACCATGAGGTTCGAGCCCTCCGTGTCGTTCTGAGATATTTGGCAGCGTCGGACCCTGCAAACCGACGTCAGGGAGTGGGTCCGTCACACCAGTATCTTGCTCTCGCTCTCACATCCTGCCCTGTCTCCACTGGTCGCACAGGTCCCTCAAAACCAGAAACTCCTGGCCGTGCCGCTGTTCGAGATCTACGATCACATGTCACGGTATGGCCCCCTCATCTCCGCGGTGCCGCAGCTGCTGTCCCGCTATGCGCTGCGCCTGATACGGCCAGACGGCGGGGTAGCGGCGGCCCCCGGCGCAGTCACCACACAGCCCCCCCGTGCAGCTCCGGAGGCGGCAAACGGTGGCCCAACAAGGGGCACAGACAACGGGAGCGTTGATGCATCAGGGCCTCTGGGGAATGGAGAGGCCCAGGCGGGGGGTAGGGTGCCTCAGGAGCAGCCACCAGCCCCGCCCTCTGAATTCATGGTGGATTTTGATGATTGATCGAGGGCTGTTATAGCTAAATATAGCTAAAATGAGCTTGAGAATTCAGGATAGTGTACACCCGGGGGAGTTGGAGCATGGTTATTGAGCAGTCCAGGGGAACACTGCAGTCATGTTGCCACTTTATGCGCAGAATCAATGGCATGAGTCCACTAATCAGACTGGTTCATAATTCATTCACACAATGAGTCTGTGCAACCTTCGGGGAGCCACGTGGGCATGGGGGCCATCGTCCGTCAAAAGAAAGCACGGAATACCCTTTACCCCCATTACAGGGCTTGCGCCGGTTGCTAGCAGCTTCTTCCCGCGAAAGGGATATCGCTGGCGTAGGTGGTTGCCTCAAATGGCGAACCGAGGGGTTGGGGGTAGGAGGAAAGGAAGGGGAAGCAGGGGGTCCACCAAAAGCTGTGGGGCGAGGTGCATTCTCAAAAAACACTTAGTCAGCATGAGCATGTTGGCTGCTCCGTTGACATCGCGGTTGACAACATGGACTCTGCAGCCCTTGTTGACACAGCGCTTGGTGTCCCACACGTCCACCAGCTTCTCCTCACCGTTGCGCACCCGCACGTACTGGTGGGCATGCAGGGTGGCGTGACAGGCGCAACACAGCTTTGATGACCTGTGCTCGTCAACCACCACCACCCTGCACACCCGCCGCAGGCGCCGCATGAAGCGTATCCAGGGCCCCGGCGGGGCCCCCCGCATGATGCCCCCCCGGTCCTGGGCCGACCAGTTGCCCACGCCCACGACAGTGGTCATGCCAGGGGGGGGGCGGAACTGCTCCGCTAGCCGGTTGATGGCCCGCTCCCTGCCAACGTAGGCTTGATGCCGCAGCTTCCGGAACGGCTTCCCGTGCATGTGCCAGGCCAGGTCCCGTCGCAGGTTAGGGAGGATCCACGCGACCCGCGACAGGAGCACCTCTGTGCTCGCTGTCTTGTGGGTTGGGCACCTGTGGGAAAGGGGTTTGGAGAAAGGGGGGGGTGAACATGCGGCCCTCGCCGTGTAGGAAGTCATCCGCGCGCTCCGTAGAAATGGTTGCCTGCGTCACGGGCTTATTGTAGTAGGTGCCGTGGACTGTGGCCGTGACGCAACTACTATGTCGGCCATGGTGAAGGGGCCCTCTGGGGGTATGGGTAGCGGGGGCACACAGCGCATTCTTTCCAACTGATTGAAGTTTTTAGATGTGAATGAACAGTCTGAGGGGGGTCCGGCGATCTGTCGTCGGCGTTTTGCAGGGCGGGAGAAGACGAAGCAGGGGGGCCACCAAATGCAGTGGGACGAAGTGCATTCGCAAAAAAGCAATTTGTCAGCATCAGCATGTTGACCACCCCGTTGACGTCGCGGTTGACAACATGGACTCTGTAGCCCTTGTTGACACACCGCTTGGTGTCCCACACGTCCACCAGCTTCTCCTCACCGTTGCGCACCCGCACGTACTGGTGGGCATGCAGGGTGGCGTGACAGGCGCAACACAGCTTTGATGACCTGTGCTCGTCAACCACCACCACCCTGCACACCCGCCGCAGGCGCCGCATGAAGCGTATCCAGGGCCCCGGCGGGGCCCCCCGCATGATGCCCCCCCGGTCCTGGGCCGACCAGTTGCCCACGCCCACGACAGTGGTCATGCCAGGGGGGGGGCGGAACTGCTCCGCTAGCCGGTTGATGGCCCGCTCCCTGCCAACGTAGGCTTGATGCCGCAGCTTCCGGAACGGCTTCCCGTGCATGTGCCAGGCCAGGTCCCGTCGCAGGTTAGGGAGGATCCACGCGACCCGCGACAGGAGCACCTCTGTGCTCGCTGTCTTGTGGGTTGGGCACCTGTGGGAAAGGGGTTTGGAGAAAGGGGGGGGTGAACATGCGGCCCTCGCCGTGTAGGAAGTCATCCGCGCGCTCCGTAGAAATGGTTGCCTGCGTCACGGGCTTATTGTAGTAGGTGCCGTGGACTGTGGCCGTGACGCAACTACTATGTCGGCCATGGTGAAGGGGCCCTCTGGGGGTATGGGTAGCGGGGGCACACAGCGCATTCTTTCCAACTGATTGAAGTTTTTAGATGTGAATGAACAGTCTGAGGGGGGTCCGGCGATCTGTCGTCGGCGTTTTGCACATTTAAATCGCGCGCGATCTGGGACTCCTGGAGCGTGCCGAACTTTATTGGCCCACGTGCGCATCGAGAGGATCATGAGGCAATCATCGGGAAGCTGTGAGGAAGTGCAGACAAGCATGAGATTGGGTGTCCGTTGAACAGCCGTGGATCTGATTCTACGCACCTGTCTTCCCCCCATCTTTTGCAGCATCGCACCGAACATCACCAAAACACACGCCAGGATGTCGGTCGAGCCACCACCCCGCCCCGCGAACTACTCCTACTCCCGCGAGGAGCGCTACGAGAAGTCTGTCGGAGGTGGGTACCGTGCCCGTGGCACCCTTTCTCGTGGCCGGGTATGAGGCCAGAGGGGCCCTCCTGGGTGATCGGGGGGACATGGAGCCGATGTCCTTTGCCGGTACTGGGAATGGGCCTCCACCCTCGTCCCCATCCGACACTGGCCGCATCTTCTGCGCATCCCCTCCGATCTCACCGCCTCTCTCATGCCTTCCTCCACCATCGCTGCAGGAGGCACCAGCGACCACGAGAAGTATGCTGCCGGATTCGCCGCCGTTGCCATCGCCAGCGCTGGTGCGTGGTGGGAATGGGTGGGGTTGGGCCCGGATGCCGCCATGTGCGTGCGGGGTTGGCGGGAGATCGCCTGCGGGCTGGAAGGGGTGGGTACGCCCGACATACAGTATATAAGGCTTTGGATTGATGACTTTCCGCAAGCATTCGAGCTTTGTTGCCCTGCAAGAGCATCAATCTGCTCACCCTGTTCTGCTGCAGCGTATTCCTGCTCTCAGGCGTTCTTCCTCTTTGCCACCCCCCTCCATCAACCCACCCTCCTCCACCAACCCACCCTCCTCCAACAGCCCTGGCCGTCCCCCTGGTGGTCCAGCCCCAGTCCACCGCCGAGTTCCTGCTGGGCGCAGCCGCGCTGCCCACCAACATCGAGCAGGACCGCCTGCTGGGCCTGTTCGCCGGGGGCCTGCTGAGCGCCACCGCCGCGGCCTGGGCGCTCAAGGGCGACGCCGAGCGCCACGAGCTGGACCTGAACACCAGTGAGAACCTGCAGCTGGGCCTGATCGGGTTCGCCGCCTCCAACCTGGCCGCGAACCTGGCGCACGTCAATGACCTCACCCCCAACGGTCTGGCCGCGGGCGCGGCCACCGCCGCCATCTCGCTGGCCGTCCCCGCCGCGCGCCTGCTGGTCTCCGGCTCCGGCCGCCGCAAGGTCGGGGACAGGATCAAGGGCGCCTTCGACTCCCTGGGCCGCGTCTTCGACCTGTCCAAGGGTGGCTTCAAGCTCACTTCCGCCCTGTACGCCCTGCTGGTCCCCGCCACCGTGGTGGCCGGCACCGCCTTCACCGCCTCGCCCGCCGCCTCGCTGGAGGGCACCCTGGGCTACGTGCTCAAGGGCGCCGACTCCGTGTACCTGTGGCGCCAGATCGGCGGCGCCCTGCTGACCATCTCCCCCGCCATCCTGCTGACCCTGAAGGAGAAGGCCGACAACGACGAGCTGGGCGAGACCCAGCCCCGCATCCTGAACGCCGGCGTCCTGCTGGCTGGCGTGGTGCAGCTGGCCGCGCTGGGCCCTCTGGCCGCGGACGGCGGCGGCGGCCGCTACCTGCCCCTGCTCCTCGCCAATGCCGTGGCCACCACCGCCGCGGGGCTGGCCGGCCTGACCAGCTCCAACACCGCCAAGAAGCTGTGAAGGGACCCTCGCCCCTTATCAGCCCTCGAGGCAGAACACATGATTGGTGACCGGGCTTTGACAGACCATGGTGCTTGATGCGAATGTCCCATGTAAAGGTATGCCAACGCACTTGTTACAAGGGCAAGAGAGACGGTGTTCCTGAGGTGCAGCATCTGAGAAGCCGGTACATCGCACCGATTTGCAGGAATCTGCATGTCTGTGCCGGCTGGAGCCAGCGCGATGGGAGTCCAAGGCGCGAGATCGTTCATCACGTCTTTCCCACCACACCAGCGGGCGCCCACCAAGTCCTGTGTTTGCCTCGATTCCAAATCAATCCATACAGCATGGTGCATGCAAGGGAGAGCACCGATCTGGGTGGCGGTGCTCCTGGCCTGCTGCGCTGCCCGACCACCGACGAGAACGGGTATCGCTTCGTCAAGCTTGACAATGGCCTTCAAGTACTACTTGTGCACGACCCCAAGACGGACAAGGCCGCCGTGGCATGCGATGTGAGGAGACCTCGCCATTGAGGAAGAGTGTTCCAGCCATGGCCCAGCATGAGGGCACCCATTGTTGACCAGGCTGAACCAAATACCTCCCTCCTGCATAGGTCCGGGTGGGGAGCCTATCAGACCCGGATGATCTGCCTGGACTTGCGCACTTCCTGGAGCACATGCTCTTCTACAGCAGCGAGAAGTACCCAGTGGAGGACGAGTACAGGTATGTTTGCGTTTTGTGTGGAGCTGTGTAGTGTTCGCAAGCCCAGGTGAGGTGCTGGGTGGGGTGCATGGATCCCCTAGTCACCTGCCTGTCTCCCTCAATGAAGTCTTGCTCAATCAATCCAACTTACAGCAAGTTCATATCCAAGCATGGAGGCCAGACCAACGCCTTCACAGCGAGCGAGTCAACGAACTATCACTTTGATGTTAACTGGGACGCCCTGGCACCAGCACTGGACAGGCATGGGGGTGGAGTGAGCGGAGCTCTCTTCTTGCCACAAGCCCTTTCCGCTATTTAGACAACTCCCAGGCCACAATTACCATACACAAGCCATTTCCATCCTCCACCTCAGGTTTGCGCAGTTCTTCATCTGCCCTCTCATCAGCAGGGATGGAGTCGATCGGGAGGCGCATGCTGTGGACTCAGAGTGAGCGAGAAAGGGGATAGCGGAGCGGGTTGATTCGCTGGCTACACATGCGCCGGGAATGAGCACAGCAGAGGCTTCATTGTCCGGCAGTTTCTATATGTTGGTGGGAACCTGTGTCCCAATTCAAGGCCAATGCCTGGATCCAAGATACGACTGCTTGAGTGTGCACAAGGCAAGCAGCGCCACCTATGTGTCACTCAGGTACCACTCATCTGATCCCCCTGTCAGGCATGGGAAGAATCTGAACTCTGATGCCTGGAAGGCACTGCAGCTGTGGAAGCACACCGCCAACCCAGACCATCCGTTCAGGTAGGAGGGACGAGGTTGTTCACTCTCTGTCTGCCAGTGCTCTGCATGTCTTTTGCAATGCCCTTTGAACAGATTGACCTTGCTGCTGTTGTGCTGGCACGAGGCCGGGTCCTGGGCGTGCTTGAGACCAGAGACACGGGCCTTGCATATCTCTGATCATCTGCAGAAACTACCCTTGCCATCCTTTCCCCCCGTCCTCACCTGCAAGCAGCCGATTCGCCACTGGGAACCTCGAGACGCTGCTGGACGGGCCAGCTCGGAAGAATGTTGAGGTTCATACAAGGTGAGGGGAGAGGATGGGCAGGGATGAGGGATCATGTCTGCGTGCTCATGCCGGATGATCAAGCCCATCGTACATGGTCTCTTCCCTGATGAGAGGCCTGCGTGTCCAGAGCATCAGCAGGAACAAAGGCACCACCCCCATCTCACAGGCTCAAAGAGTTTTATGAGAAGCACTACTGCTCCCAGCTCATGCGGGCGGTCATCATCGGGCGCGAGTCTCTGGACGACCTGCAGGCCCTCGCCAGCTCCGCCTTCGGCCCCGTGCCCTGCCGCGGGCTTCGGGCCCCCAGCTTCTCGCCGGAGGCCACCCCTCGTGCGGGCCTGCTGATGAAGGCTGTCCCGGAGAGGAGCGGCCACACCCTGGAGCTGCAGTGGCGTGTGGAGCCGGAGCTGAAGCACTACGACGCTGCCCCCTGCCAATACTTTTCGCACCTGCTGGGGTGGGTATCGCGCGGCGGTCCGGGCTGGGAGGGGGGCCGCAGGCGGGGCTGTGACTGGCCGGCTCCCTGCGCACTCTGACATGTGGGAGGGTGCGTCCAAGAATGTGCATGCAGCCCTTTTCCAACACCCCGGTGCCGCACCCCCCGACCTTGGGCCTCGCTCCCTCGGCTGCACAGGGATGAGGGGGAGGGGTCCCTGTTTGCGCTGCTCAAAGCTCGCGGCTGGGCGACAGACTTGTGTGCCGGCGAGAGCGGCACCTCCTTCTCGGCGGCCTCCATCTTCATGGTGCGGATCGGGCTGACCGATGCCGGGCAGGAGCATGTGCCGGAGGTGACCAGTCTGGTCTTCAGGCAAGCAGGCGGGGGGAATGGAGGGAATAGCCGAGGCATTTGCTGGCATGCCACTGGCAAGAGCATGATTGTTGGGCAGGCGGGAAGAAACCGGATCAGGGTGATACTGCACCCAATTTTACAACTATTCATGGATGATAGGCTATGCACTGAGCTGCGTGGCAGGCACACTTACAGCGCGATAAGCCGGCATACGCTTCCCCACCCCTCCTCTGCCTGTGCAATCTGCAGCTACCTCGGCATGCTGAGGCAGCCGGGAGGAATCTCGCACCAGGTCTGGGAGGATGCCAGAGCCCTCGCGCAGGTGTTAGGCGCGGGTTCTTCACAATTGAATTGATTCAGGACCTCCTTACTACATTGCAGTCCCCTCAGATAAGCATTTTACCCAGGCCTCCAGTGTCCCTTCCCATGTCAGTATCAACAACCCCCAACCCCCCCTTGGCGTTCCCTGGTCCCTGCGCAGCTGAGATTTGACTTTGCGGAGAAGATGGCCCCTTCCTCGTACGCCACCACTCTGGCCGGTGCCATGCAGGTGCTCTTGGGGAGGATGTCGTGTGCTAAGGAGTGCTGAAACTGTTGACTGGCTCCTCTATGGCTTGTGGGATCCGCATGGAGCATGCATGGGTTGTGCCTCACAGGCAACCCTGTTCACGCATACCTCCATCCATCACCTCCCTGCCAATTGCCACCCGACACAAAGGTGTACGGAAGGCATGACCTCCTGCTGGCGATACACCATGTGCCTCAGCGATACGACCCTGAGCTTCTGGACACTGTGCTGAGCACGCTTTGCCCCAGCGAGGCTCGAGTTCTCTGGGCATCCAGCTCCTTCCAGGTGGGTACAGCTGGCTGTACAGCTCATGATGTGCTGTTTCTATGCTGCTTAGGATGTTGATCAGGTCAGACTTGAAACCCTCTGCACCCATTTTTGCATTAGGCTCACCACCCGCATCATCACCTCCTACCCGACAGGTCCCCACCGACTGTCCCCTGAAGGAGCCCTGGTATGGGACGGCACACAGTGCAGGCCCGCTGCCAGCCGAGTGGCTGACTCACTGGGAGGCCGCGTGGAGGGGTGAGGGGGCCGCCCTAGGTGACAAGGATGGCCATAGATTCTGTGGGATGCACCTGCCGCCCCCTAACCCATACATCCCTTCCCGCTTCGATCTCATCAAGGTGGGCAGGGGGGATGGTGGAGGTGGCTTCACTGTCACTGTGTGAGCCTGTCTGCATCCTGTTCCTGAAGGGCACTGCAGCTTCACCTTTTTCAACACTGCTCTCCAGCCTCAGTGCACAATGTTGACAGGCTCCCCATCTGAACCATGCCCATCCCAGGAATCCAGCTCCAGCCCTGCCAAGATCCATGCCACGCCGCTGTATACCCTGTGGCACCGACCGGAGACAGGTTTCAAAGTGCCCAAGACTGCCATCTACCTCCACTTGAGAATGCCTGGTGGGTAGGAGGCTGCCGAGGATCTTGTGGAATTGGCGGGGGCTCGTCCGGCCACACTGAAAGGGAAAGCAAGGAAGCGGGTGCAAAGGGAGCCTGGTCCTTGCTGTCAACATGATGAGATTGACGCTCATGCCCTAGGCTGGGCATGGCTGAGTGCTGCACCTACCCTCTGCACATATGCTCCCCCCCCTCAAACACACCCAGAGGCCTATCTGACACCTAGAGCGGCTGTCTCCACTCAGCTCATCTCCCGGCTCCTCACCGACAAGCTGTCCGAGGTGGGTGCCTGCTTTTTGGCTGGAGACCCTTGCCATGTCGCTCAGCCCTCTCTGCATTTTCGCGTCCCACCACCCTTCCACACATGATGCCCCAAGGTGGCGTACCCGGCTGAGCTGGCAGGGCTCCACTACGGCGTCCGGGCCACCACATCTGGCATGCTCCTGTCCTTCTGGGGCCACAGCCACACCCTGCCGCGCCTGGTCCAGGTCGGCTTGCGTGATTGTTGGACCTGAATAATGAGATGAGGGAGTGCCAGAGAGATCTCGCTCTGGAGTCGTGGCCGCACTGTTCCTGGAGGGGGACCAGACTCGTACTGCCTTCGCGCATGACAGCACTCCCCGTGACCTAGGATCTGCTGTGTACAGTATTGAATAGGGAAGAGAGTTGCTGCCCCCTGTGATGTCCTCGGCTCTTACAAGCTCTTCCCCCACCCCGACTGGCCCCCTGGTCCTAACAGACGGTGCTGGACAGCCTCCTGGAGTTCGAGGTGCTGCCGGACAGATTTGAGCTGGCCAAGGAGCACCAGGCCAAGGACTATGCCAACATGAGGTGGGTGGGGGTCACTGGAAGAGTGGTGTTAAGATGGTCTGTGAGCAATGCCGAGTGGTCTATCGTGGCCCAGGCACGATCTGCAGGGGCACTGGCCTTTTCATGCGCAGGACCTACTCCTTACCCACCCCGACCCAGCCCACATGAGCGCCACACCTCCCCTCCCCCTTTTGACCCCAGGCATGAGCAGCCGTACCAGCACGGCCTCTATCTGCTGAGCGTGGGGCTGGAGGCTCGGCGCTGGCACGTGCGCGACTACGAGGCGGTGCTGCCTGGCGTGATGGGGGACTCGCTCCGCGCTTTCCAGACGGCCATGCTGGGCACGGTGCGCATCGATGCCCTGATCGCCGGGAATGTGCCGGCCGCCGACGCGCGGGCGCTGCTGCAGGCGCTGGAGGCGCGGCTGCTGGCAGGGTACGAGGGGGGGGTGGGATGTTGAGGCTGTCAGTTGCTGGGTGGCACCCCTCGCCCTGCTCTGTGACCACCGAGAGGGCTCCCGTGGGCCGGCTCCGCTGCCCTCTGATTCCTTGCTTTGCGCCTGGCATGACAACCACCCTCCCACGCACACATCGGCACCGCAGGCGCTGCTCCCCTCTCCCGGCCTCGCAGCGTACCGAGGCGCGCGTCGTGGCGCTGCCCTCGCCCATGCGCGCCGTGCACGCTGTGCCGGGACCCAACCCGGCCAATGACAACTCCGCCGTCGTCGTCGCCTTCCAGGTGCGCGGGGAGCGGTAGCCATGCCGGTGGTGCGCCCAACAGGCATGCCTCAGAGGTCGTATGTGCTGGGTGCACGCTGGCTCCTCCTTCAGGGGCCTCAGCGCTCCCTGGCGACCAGGAATTTCATGCAGTTCCCGCTCCCCACCCCCAGGCTGGGCGCGACGACGTCAGGCGGAATGCGCTGGTCGACCTGGTCGGCCACCTGGGGAAGAGGGAAGCCTTCCACACCCTGCGCACCGTGGAGCAGCTCGGGTGGGCGGGGCGTGGCTGGGCCCTGGGTGGACCAGCTGCCGGGCGGCTTCCAGACCTGAGAGTCCACAGGAGCACCGGGAAGTGCGCCGACTGCCAGGCAGGCCTTGTGCATGCCGGCCCAGCACCGCCCGGCATGCAACCATGCCACCCACCCCCTGCCCAAACCCACCCCGCGTCAGGTACATCACCCACCTGTCGGCATTCTGGACGCTGACCGTGAGCAACATCCTCGTTCTCATCCAGTCCTCGGCCCATTCGGCTCGGTACCTGCAGTCTCGCATAGACGCATTCCTCCCAAAGGTACCCGGAAGTGGCATGTTGTGGGCCAAGAAGGGCGATCCGCTGCAGCAGGCATGCTGCAGGCGGTGGTGTGGCCCAAGGCCACACGGGCAGGCACTGGAGGGAGGCTGGGGCCTTGAGGGCGCCCCGGTTTCACAGTGCAGTGTCAGGCATTCCGCCTACGTGCACCGCTGAGCATCCTCCCCCATCGTCCGCTGCTCCAGTTGGCGGACTCGCTGCGTGGTATGCCCGCCGAGGAGTATGCCGCGCATGTGGAGGAGCTGGCCAAAGCCAAGCTGGAGAAACCTAAACGATTGAGGGATGCCGTCAACACCGACTGGTCCGAGATCGACGACGGCACCTTGAGGTGGGTGATCCTTGTGGCGTACCGGCGACGTGTGTTCACGAGTCTGGGAGGGGCTCTGGGGAAAAGGACCTCCCCCGTGCATCGCAGCTCATCCCTGACACACCCCTGAGACCACGCAAACGGTCCTGGCACCTCTTTTCTCACGCTGATGCATCGCCAATTCTGCACATGCTGCACCATTTTGCCTCCAGAACCTGCCTGCTTGAGCCTCCGGGGCGTACTGATTGCCGCCTTGGATCGCTGCATCGCTATGCAAGGACTGCCCTGGTGCTGTGCCAGCATCAGGAGCCTGTGTCAACCAGCCAGCTGCACCCTGCATCATGCAGATTTCCGCGAAAGGAGCTGGAGGCAGCTGCCGTGCGGAGCATCACACAAGAGGAGCTCGTCGCTTTCTTCGAGGCAAGGGAGAGCAGAGGTTACCTCAGGGTACTGTCCTTTTGGCTCTTGGTAGGCCCAGACTCCATTCTGGTGTATGGCCGTCAGCTGTGTCGTGAGCTCACACAGCAATCTCGGGTGGTAATCATTCAACAGCCCTGCACCCCTGTCAATCACACCCACTCTGCAGGACACCGTGGTGAATCCGAGGACCCGGCGCTCCTACTCCGTACTGGTGGAAGGCAATGTAAAGGAGCCAGCCCCCGAGGCAGCAGGGAGCAAAGCTTCAGCAGCCCCGCCGACAGCGGATGAAGTTTTAGTATCTGATCAGTACTCCTTCAAAAGAGGCCAGGCACTGTATGCCTCCTTCCTGTAACCCAGAACCCTCTGTTTACCCAGGATGTTTTCCTGCGTATGCTTGTAATTCGGACACTACCTGGCTCTTCCTGTCCATGACCGGGGTGGCCGACCTACCTCCAGGACCTAGGACGGTCCGACGATGCTACCATGTGCGCGAAGCGATGGCGAAGCTTCTCACACACGGTAAACTCTGCACTTATACCCCTTGGGACGCATGTCGATAAAAGACCCAATCTTTACCATCTTCGCCACCAATTTGCCCTAAATTTTCTTCCTTTACCTTTTCACTAATCAACAGCAATGGCTCGCGGAGGTGCAGGCAGTCTCGTCAGTGGTCTGAAGACCATCCTGGTAAGAACGGATGCCAGGGCAGGGGTCGGTCGGCAGTGGCGCATTGCCTCATATCCATGCCCGGGACTCATTGCATCGTCCCTACTTTCTCACAGCTGTCTCCAGTGACGCTGGTGAAGCAGATCTGCCATGGCATTGAGCAGTGTTTCTGCCGCCGGGCGTAGGCGGGTGGCCCAGCCGAGATACCTGCGACGTGCGACTTTCATGAGATGAAGGCAACAGCCGCGCCAGCGATACACTGCAGTCTGGAACATTTGTCCAGCTGTATCTTGGCTTGGCAGCGTCGACTGACATTTTTCGCTGGGTGACCTTTTCGAAAGCCGCCCATTGTCCCCTTCTCAAACTCACCACATTTTTCAGGACCATTCCACTCTGACCACCTTCATGATCCTCCCGCCCAATGAGTAAGCCTCTACCACCCTTCACAGCATTTGCTGCGCCCCTCGCATGATTGTAAAAGGCTTCAGAGTGTCAAAGCGCAGGATTTACTCTGGGCCGGAGTTTGTGCTTGGGCATGCTGAGCCCTTCCGGTGCCCCAAGAGCAAGATGAGGTGTAGTGCTGAGCGCTGTATGAAACAGATGTCAGTGCGTATGTATACCAGCATGTGCAGTCTGTCGATCAGGTGTTATCCTCAAGGCTGCATTGCACAGCTGCAGAGTGACCCTTCCTGGCCAGGATCTTTCCAGCCTGGATCAACCATACACCTCAACGATGTCAACCACCTCCAGTGCCCTGGGGGGCTGCACTGTGCCACCCTGGTGAGCAATGACACTGGAGGTCCATCCCATCACAGTCCTTGAGACAGAGGTTTCGTCCGAGACAAAGGCACAACAGGAGCTGGGAGGGTTGGAATGCCGTGACCTGGCATGACGTGCAGTACTGGAGAGTAAAATCGCCGGCGAAGCAAGGGTCAAACAAAAATGGAAAAGGGGGGCAATTCTCGGGCGGCATGGCAGATGTGCTACGCCCGTCGTGTGTGGCGCAAGTCTCCGGAACCAACGCAGTGCCGCTGCTCGAGCCTCGAAGCTCACAGCCGCACAAAAGTCACTGGCTCCCGAGCGTCGCCCAGACGCTGCGCCATGTCCACCAAGCGATTGACCCTGTGTGTGTAAGTGGGGGGGGGGGGGGGGGGACGCATGGGCACATGAGTGGATGTGACTGGCAGGTGCAGGCAGCATGGAAGGCCAGACGCGCCGTTTGCACCTTGCTTCCTCCCGACGATTGCCCCACCTGTAAGGCACATCCTCTAGCTGCAATTTCTCCGCTAGCAACCGAGCATTCATCTCGAAGGCTCCGGCAGGCAAGTCTTGGAGAAACCTGGCAGGGGCGGGGGTGGAGGGGTGAAGGTTGCGCGACATAGCTTCCTACAGCTCTCAGTATTTGTGCACTCGGACCTTGCCAGCACTTCTCCCTGCACAAGAACCTGCACAGTGGACCACCCCTCGGGAACCTTTCTAGACCAGCCTATTGCACTTCCAGCCCTCAACCTGACCCCTGAGAAACGCACCAGGGGTGGTGTATGATGGCTGAAAGCTCACAACGGCAGCTTGGCTCTGGGACGAGCATCAGGGAGAGGAGGTGCATCACCCCCGAGCTCACCTGCAGCGGAAGGG